GTCATGACAAATCCTCCAATAAATAAATTTGGTGTAACAAGTAGTTTTAATTGGAATTCCAACAATTAAGCCCACCAGGGCACTACTCATTACATTCACACCTTCAGATTTTGACTGATATCAATCAAATTGAGCACAAACCCTTAGGGCTCCCCAAGGTAGTGATATAAAGAGGGTAGTTTGGATCTGACCCCTTTTATCAAACCCCAAGCCTTATGGGCCCCTATGTGTTCTCCATACTTTTCTATTGATTTCTACCAAACTTCAAAGGCACCCATAGGACACCACAGGGATGGATATATGGATCTGGCTCCCCTGTGTCAGTATTGGAGGACTTCTATATCTTCTCCAGCCATTTAACAGGTATGTCTGCTGGTATAAACATAAAGGTGTTTAACAATAAACAAGTTTTGAGCCCCTGTACCTTAGTGGCTGTTTAGTTATTAACATAAATGTATATTTTTGAGCCTATAATTCCAAGTAATCTTATTGGGAGCTTACTATACATGGATGTGTACTGATCATGAGAGACATGAAACAACAGCTGCATACATAATAGGGGTGTAAAAATTCACTCTTCTGACATTTGGGACTAACAAATTTTAGTTTGAACTACTGTGAATTGTATACATACAGGGCTATGTATTTTTCCTTTTATGAAGTTTGTTCATATGTGTAAAATCCAACTCTTTATTTAATTATTAGAATTTTAAAACATGATACCACTTGTTATTTTTACTTTTAACTCATTAAATATTTAGTCACTGAAAGCTTTGTAAAACTGGTATCCTGTTTATCAATGATATATGCAAACATGTATGTATGAATCAGTTACTGACTTATCAATTGAAATGTCCAATTATGTTATAATTTATATGATTATTTTTCATTGGGATTAAAAGTTATCTTTTATCTTAGTTAAGTTTTTATTGATATAAGATAAAACAGCTATGTTTGGGCAAAAGGATTCAAACCCCTTACTTGGAATATGTAGCCTTTTTCTTAGGTATGATGGAAAATAGCAAAGTGTTGTAAATATTAGGTAGCTGTGTGGATGTTTTGATTTTGTCATATATGTAGACTGGACAACCTACCCAGACATTTTAGACCCATGTACAAGCATCCATATAAATGTATAAACAACATCATATTTTACTAAATTACTAAGCACAATCACAACAGAACAATGTACAGAGCAATTATAAAGAAAGTTTTGCAATTCATTGCATTATATTCGAGGCGAGGAGAAATTATTCTAATTTTTGAGCTCCCCTGGGTTAGTAAACCTACATACCTACCACAACTGGATTGATTAACTGCATTATATCTCACAAGCCATATAGCATAGGATGGTTAAATTGCACAGGAATGCTAAGGGCATCATGAAGATGAAAATGCCATAATTGTCACACGCTGCCTCCAGGGAGTGCACTATGACTTAATGTCTGATCCATCACAACAACTGTTCAAAATGTGTTCTTACAGCTTCCAGCTGCTGTGACAAAGGACATTACAACAAAAACATGTATGGTATGTATCCTTGAGTCCTGAAACTGTGAGAGACTTCCCACAATACACACAACTTAAGGTACCCGAACATTAAAAAATAAGAATGTGTTACATCTTGTAAATGAGGTGGTCATTCACAAGGAAAGTAATGTGAAATGATTTTTTTCTACAAATGCCTCCACAAAACATGTTTCACCTTGATACCAATATGCAGAAGGCCAATTTCCTGAAAGAAAACCATAGTGTCAATCACATTTCATTATTGAGTATAGGAATCACATTGGTTGTGAGCACTGCATGAGGCCATGCAGTACTGACTGTGCAGGTTTGCAGTCCATGTACTGATGGTTCTTCACAAAAAGTATAGTCCAATAACAAAGTCAGCTGTGAAACCACACCACACTGTCATCTTACCATCATGCAGGTGCATAGAAAATATTACAAGTGGATTAGCTTCCAACCAGATAATGCAGTTGCACGTGTTGACACTTCATCAGTCCATATAATATATAGGCAAGCCATTAGTCATTGATTTCCAGTCTTGCAAAGAACTGCAATGCAAAATCAACATGTTGGATTAAAGCTGTCTCCTTCAGTGTTTGAGCATAGTGCAGATTGCAAAAACAAAATCACAAAGTTGACTGAAGAGAGTTGTGAACAAGTGAAATTAGGAAATTCAGACAACAGGTGACATAACTTATCACTGCTGAGCCCATATGCATGTGCCAGCTTCTGCCATGGAATGTCTTACCTGGGCTATAGTTGCAGTAGGTGTTGTTGGCCTGCCTTTACCTGGCTTATCACAAGTGCAACACGTCTTTCAAATTCTTGAACACAGCAACAATGGAACAATGCCCTATGCAAATGTTATGCACTCTATGGTATTTCCTAACAGTTGACTTAGCATTGCATATTTTGGTGCAATAACATTTCACTAGTTCATTTCTTTGCATACTTGTCAGTTTCATGTTGGTTGAATGAGCTGCACTGTGATTGAAGGCCCATTTATACCCATGGGAAATATGGAAAACATACCACAATGGTGACCTTGGTGGCAAAGTGTGACAACTATGGTATTTGCATCTGGATGACACCTTTAACACTCCTATGCAATACCACCTTTCTATGCCACACTTTTTGTAAGATGTTATGCCCAGAACTGAAATACTTTCTTTGTAAGTAACCCTGCATACACCTCAAAGTAATAGTGTACATGATAAGCTTTTATTATTTCTTGTTACTGGAAACCTATAACATGCCAATAAAGAATGAAATGATAAAAATTAACATCAATCTCATTGTGTTGTAACATCAAAGTTATTAATTACTATCAAAGATACCTGGCAAAGCCAGGCTTAAGAAAATAATGTTATAAATGGTGATGTGGGTTGTCCTATTTCTCTGTTTTGTTTTTAGTTTTGAAATTTCTCTTGGTTTTAGAAGTAGCTAAAGCAAAATTCAACATAATAAATGTGTGGATTTGCAATGATGGTGTATTTTTCATTAATATTCAT